TATTATGTATACACAGTATATATATCAATATATATATATATGTGTGTGTGTGTGTGTGCGTGTCTCAGTCACGACAAAACAACAACACCACAATACACAAGCAAGAACACATTTACATACACATACCTCGGCGGCAGGCGGCTTCGTATCAATAGGGATATTGTACGCGTCTCGGTACAGGTCATACGAGATCACAGCCATTGGGATGGACACAATCGTGCCTATGATCGATGCCATGAAGTTGGCTTTTGGTGAGCTTGACAGCAGATACGCTGTCTTGTACGCCTGCATCACATCCCCCGCCTGTTGGGCACCGCTCTCGGCCACACCCCTGCAGAGAAATAGGTATACATTGTATGAAAAAAAAACCGAATATGTATGGTGTGTACGTATGTGCGTGTATCTCTGTAGAGAAATAGGTATACATTGTATGAAAAAACCGAATATGTATGGTGTGTGCGTATGTGTCTTTAAAAACAGGTGTATAGGTATATACGTGTGTGTAGACTGGCATGCATATATATATACGTATGGCAAGGTTCGGGGTGGGGGTGTAACATCCATCCACCCAGCCGCTGACTCCTCGATGTTATTCGCTACGAGCTCAGACCTATTGACTATCCAAAGGCGTTACAGGTCACCTTCTGGCAAGCGCTGAACAGTACTCAAATCCCAAAGGCCAGCAGTTATCCAAGCATCAATACTATGCACACCCCCCACATCTCACCTGTATGTATCATACACTAGCACGACACGACTGTTTATGATTTTGCATGGTCTATATAGGCTTACAATTTTTTTTAACCCCTAAAACCCTAAAACCCTAAAAATATCCCTAAACCCCTTACCCGCCGACGATATTGGCCACCAGATTGTCGCTGTTGAGCACCCCGAAGACCACCTGGGACACCTTCCCAATGCCCGACACGGGGTTCAAGTCTGTGTCTCCGAGAGCCCTCACGGCTACTAGACTGACCACACACCCCAGAGTCACCGCCACCAACGCTTGGAAGACGGTGAGGTCGAACAGAGGTACGTCTATGGCCACGCATAGAGCTGGAAAGGAAAAGGAAAAGGAAAAGGGGCGATGCTTAGCTAAGGATAGTACAATATCACTTCGTTCGGTGTGTATGGGTGTATGATTGTACTGTAATCTGGTATGTGTATGTACACGTATATCGCCGGGTGTTTAGAACCACGGTATAGTCGGATATGGGTATGAAAATGTCGGATAAACCTGCGACAATCGATGAGAGGTGGTGGGGAGTTCACCTTCTCACACTCACTTGACTGCCATAAACCGTGCTCACATCGACCCGAGAATCCTCCGCAAGTAAATCATCAGTATAATTATTGATAACATCCAATAAAATCAGGGCAACCTTCAAATGAACCTACCTAAAACAAGAAATCACCTAAAACCGGTTTAAAGTATGGCTCAGAGAGGATCGCGTTAGGGTTTAAGGTTTGAGTAAATATGGCTCTGGGGAGATTTGCTTTTTGTCTTGTAAAATAAACATGTTTGGGCCGGGGGAGACATTATGTAAAAAGATCCGCGAGGTTCTCGTGCGTGGTAATATAGGTGATAGTAATTATGCCCTTAGATACACAATCACGTATATAGTGCGCATGATCCTTAATGCGCTTGAGGCTTTTCGCTACGTCGGTCTCAGAAGGCATCTTGATGGCCGACTGGTTGTCAACATGCAACACGTGACCCCCCAATACATCAGGCGCCAAATACATCCCATACATCCTGCAAGACCCCTACTTTAGACCTGTATTTACTCCGAAGTCCTAAAATTTTAGGGCAAGGACATATGACTTACCAGTGGAGGTGACCAGGCCGGTGAGCCACCAGGAGGTGGGCACCTGTTCCCGCTCAGGCGTAGTGTCGGTTACATCATGCTGTTCTTCGCCTGCGGCAACAGGAAAGCGTTTAATTTAGAGTGAGAGTGGGTAGTGCTGTCTTGCCTGCGGCAACAGGAAAGCGTTAATCCAGAGTGGGAGTGGATAGTGCTGTCTAGCCTGCAACAACAGGAAAGCGTTTAATTCAGAATGCGAGTGGGTAGTGCTGTCTAGCCTGCAGCAACAGAAAAGCGTTTTATTTAGAGTGAGAGTGGGTAGTGCTGTCTAGTCTGCAGCAACAGGAAAGCGTTGATTTAGAGTGGGTAAGCCGGGGGTTGGGTATATATATACCAGCATATGTCACCACTGACAGCGCCGCCCGTTTGGGCGTGTGGGGACGAAGGTGTCACCAGCCCTTACGCACAGGTTCACGTGTAATTGTGGTGGTAGGTATGTCATTCTGTCCCAAGCATGTGGTACAGAATGGGTGTCGGGTAAAAAGAAGACGAGACAGATGGTGTATAAGTATGTCAGGATCTGGCGCCATTGTTAAAAAGCTCCCGTTTGGGCGTGTGGGGACGAAGGTGTCAACAGCCGTTACGTACAGGTTCACGTGTAATGGTGGTGGTAGGTATGTTATTCTGTCCCTCGCCTGTGATACAGAATGGGTGTCGGTTGATAAAGGACGAGATAGAGTTCGTACAAGTATATCAGGATATGGCACCATTGTCAGAAACAACCGGGCGTGTGGGGACTAAGGTGTCGCCAGACCATACGCAGAGGTTCACATGTAATGGTGGTGGTAGTTGAATCGATCCCTCCAAGCCATTGACATGACACACGCTCATCAAGGATACAGTAATATGCATATATTTGTTATTCTACTATTGTGTATAGTAGTTGTGACTCCCATAGTGTGACATACCCCTGTACCCGTGTACCAGACTATGCTTATACTCATCGGCTACAGATGTACGGATATCTGCATACATATAAAGACCCCATCCGTTAACTGTAGTCACATGTGCGTCGTAGCCCTGAGCGATCTTCTGAGAAGTGACATCTCAAAACACCCCTCTCCCTCCAATAGCATCTGATTCCACACGATCCATATCAATCATGCATCTGTTTGTTCGTCTATACGTGTAGTATACACTGTATGTTCGCTAATACATGTAGTGTACACTGTATGTTCGTTTATACGTGTAGTATACATAAATGTGAATATCTGTATGTTCGTTGATACGTGTAGTATACGTAGATGTGAATATCAGTGCATACTCACATACACGCACACCATCACATACCTGCGGTCACTCGCAGGCTGCAACCTCGCGCCTTGTACCTAAAAACACCAAACTGTCACACAACATGAGAATCAACAGAACTTTCATCAACCATGCTTCTTAGTGTTCGTTTAGCGTGTAGGGTACATGAGTGTGCATATCTGTGCATACTCACATACACGCACACGATCACATACCTGTGGTCCGTTCGCAGACAGAAACCTGATGCAATATTCAGTGGAGGTTATGCCTAGAAACACCACACTCTCCGACAACAGGAGAATCAACACAATCCACACCAACCATACTTTCAAATGAGCCTTTTGACACATTTAGCGCGCATCTGTACGTATATCTGTGCATGCCGCACACACACCTGTAGTCCTGCGGAGATAGTACCCACGCGCAATCTTAGCTGAGGTTATGCCTAGAGACACCACACTCTCCGACAACATGAGGATCAACGCGATCCACATCAACCACCCCTGTGCCCCGTTCTTCCAGTCAGTGACTTTTCCTGGCGCCCATCCTTGATCTTTGGCGATGGGCCCTGGGACACGCGAATGAAGAAGTGGTGTACAATCGCGTGGGTGAAGGTATGGAGAGATCTGTCAGGCACACATATGCTTGTGTATGTACATATACAGCATACAGACATGAATAAGTGGTATACGATCGCGAGGGTGAAAGTATGGAGGGATCTGTCAGGCACACATATGCGTGTGTATGTATATATACAGCATACATACATGTGTGTATGGCACACATACGCATGTGTATGTACATATACAGCACACATACATGTGTGTATAACGGCGTGAGTCTATATATGTTTAGACGCATCGGTGGATTTGTCAGATTCCTCATGCACGAATGGATGTATGTAGCGTATGCAAGCGTATGGATGTATATAGCGTATGTAAGCGTCTGGATGTATATAGCGTATGTAAGCGTATGGATGTATATAGCGTATGTAAGCGTATGGATGTATATCGCGTATGTAAGCGTAGGCACATACAAACGCTAGCTCCAATGCAGAGCTTAGAATTGGCCCAGATATACAGTCCTAAAGACCATATTGGGTCTTATATAGAACTACGCCCAGGCGCGCGCTAGAAACAGGGGTATGCTAAATCACACAGCTGTACACTCAAGAATGTTCCAATGATTGAGTGCCGCCAATCAGATCACCAAATGCAATAACAACAGATGAGATTTAAAAAGATAGGAAATGCCGTAATACATTGATCTAAATTCAATGTCAATTTTTTAAGCTCGACTCCAGAAGAAGAAAAGAACGGTTAAAACATAATAAAAATGACTCAGGAGGGAATTCGCACAACCCTAAACAATCCCAACAGAGACGTATAATCCTTCCCATTTCTGTATGGCAATCCGGAAACCTGTTCCAGAAACTCTAATTTTTGAACCCGAAATCCTAACCTCCAAAACCATCGACTGAACAGATATTTGAGTACATACCTAGAATAGCCCACGCAGTAATACTCCCGGCCAAAGCGGATAGTCCTGGTTTCATTCCCATAATCATACCCTATAGTATACACGTACAAATGACATATTGGGTATAAGAAAAGGAAGTAGGCTTACAAGAACTGTTTTCCATATCAAAGGTCGTGTCTGAGCGGTGAGGAGTGCCGTTGCAATGCCTGTGAGAAAGACTGCTAACTATGTTCACAAAGGGATATTTAAATAGAAATATGATATGTATAAGAAATGAGAATGGATATGTGACCTACAATCATACGCCCTTCAACACACACAGTGGAATGATATGTTATGTATACGGAATGGGATCAGATGCACACCAATCAACAACACTCAAAAGCATACCCTGTAGTGCACACGTACAAATGATATGTATGTATAGGAAAGGCGATAGACACATGCCCATAAAATATAAGACATACGGCCCATAAACATGTAGGAATAATTTGTCTGGAGCAGATGACAGGAGAATAGAGGTACGACTAACTTGAGTTATACCCAAGCGAACCTGCCTTTATAGTCGTCGTAGTGTCTTATTGAAAGCATTCGAAAACAAATGTTAGGCCCGGCACTACAAACACACACGAGCTGTTGTGCCACCAGTACCACATCCTGAACATCCTGTAGTTTGCATGCGCTTCAGCAGTGATATATATATATATATCGGCACACTGCGGTAGGATACGGTATAATATGGTGAAATCGACAAGCGTACACCCAGGCTACAACAGTATGAGGGGACAACAGGCACAGACACACACCCATGATACAGTCCATGACACGGTAGAAGCATACCTACAGGCACACGCCCAGTTGACAGTTCACAACACGGTATGAGCATACCTACAGGCACACATCCAGCTTACTACATAATATGAAGATACCAGCAAGCACACATCCACCTTACGACACAATATAGGGATACCTACAAGAACACAACCGCCCAATCTCGGCAGGCACGGCAATAGACGCAATACATAAACGTTTGTTCACTTCCAGCCCGTGCGCTTACCTGTCCAACGTATGCAAGCGCGGGATTGAACGTCCATTGCCACGTAGTCAGTATCGGAAGACCCACCCACGTACCTACCGGCATGTTCTTCAACACAGGCACGAAGAACGAAATGAAGCCATACTACACACACACACACACACCAGGGAGAAACCAACAGCAATGGTGTGAGTAGGCGGATTGGAACTCATCTTTCAGTGTCAATTTTTTTTTCCACATGGGGTTTGCGTAGAGTTTTCTTGGTGTATGTAGCACCAAGCCGGCATGAGGCACGGGGTGAACCTGTAGTACGCATACACACCAACGTGAAGCCAAAAGATCCGGTGAGTAGGTTACTTGTAGGAGGCTATGTAAGTAATAACCGGTAGGAACCTCTACTTTCTGTGTGTACTAAATAGTGTAGA